CTTTTTGCGGATACAGACTAACACGGCTGCTACTCTGAAACCTTTCAGTGTTTTACTAGTGTTCTGTGAACATCTGTATAAGAGTAACTTCTCTATTTTAATTCATATTGAAAGGGTAGCATAAAGTAACTGGACTCTAAAGTACAAATTAAATTTTAAAATAACATAGGGATTTGGAACAGAGTATTTATAAAACTCTCTCTTGCCAATGTGCTTTATGCACCTGTAAATCAATTCCTGAATTGCTTCAGAATGCAGCCATACACCCTCTGAAAAGTACACCAGCTATTACTCAAATTTGAACAGTGTCAGTACACGTTCATTAGCTATCTTCTGTGTATGCATTCGCAGACATGTTAGTGTCTTTTTAGCAGAGAATTTTTTTGCTTTCTCGGTGCTCTGTTAAAGCCTATCATTACATTTTGCCATGCATCTGAAATGCCTTGGATTGTGGTTAATATTCTCTCTGAGATTGTCTCAATTAGAGACCACAGAGAGAACTTGGACTTAGGGTAACTTTTTAAAGGGAAGCATAATGAAAGTTCCACTGTGTTTCATTGCATTGCACTGTACAAATAGCATGTCCATTTATAGTCAATTATCTATTTAAAGTGATGTCATTCTTTCTTTATTATAATGGAGCACGTAGTGCCACTTAAGAGTTAAAGTTGGCTGACATTTCCCATGATAAGACCCTGATTTCAGTTCCTTATAACTTTGCCAAGCTTGATCCATTCAGGCTGAAATTTTCTGTTTGGTGTCTTCCTAAATCTGAAGTTTTTTGGAAAGCTTTGACAAAAATAGTTCAGCTGTTTCCAAAAATAGAGCGGGGAAAATATTTCCTGTTCATATTAATAAAATGTGCAAATGTTTTCTTGAGAAGCTATAGTACATGCAAGATTTGGAGCAGGGTCTTGGAATTGGGTGGAGTGGGTTGCCTTGTTGTCAGCAATTTGCCTTTTGCTATTTCTGAATTTGGCCAAGTTATAGGCCTCTGAAAAAGCCCAGTGTGCACATACTCAACAGAAATTTGGAGATTTAGCAGCCAAATTGTAGCAAAGATTGTCTGTATTGGGCAAGTTTCAGTCCATGGCTGAGCAGGACTTTCCCTTCAGTTGTTGCTTCCAGCTGCTATGGGCTACTTTGATACTGGGTGCAGGAACTGAGAGAGGAGACACTCTCTTGTGTACACTCAGTGCTCCGTCTGCCTGCACCCAAGCAAGGGGAAGGAAGAACAGCTTGCCTCAAATACAGAGGGGACAAGAGCCAGACCTGGAGGCTTTCTGTCAGATCCTTGCCTCATTTGTTGTAGAAGCTGGAAGAACATAAGAACGGCCATATTGGGTCAGACCAATGGTCCATCTAGCCCAGTATCCTATCTTCTGACAGGGGCCAATGCCAGATGCTTCAGGGAATGAACAGAACAAGGCAGTCATTAAGTGATTCATCCTCTGTTTTCCATTCCCAGCATCTGGCAGTCAGAGGCTTAGGGATATCCAGAGCATGGGGTTGCATCCCTGCCCATCTTGGCTAATAGCTAAGGCTATGGTTATTTTTAGTAAAAGTCATGGAAAGATCACGGGCAGTAAACAAAAATTAATGGCCCGTGACCTGTCCATGACTTGTACTATATACCCCTGACTAAATCACGTGGGGCAGGGGGCGGCCTGGAGGGTGCCACGGGGGCTCTGGGGCAAGGGGTGGCAGCTGAGGGGGGCCCACGGGGGCGCTGGGTCAGGGGGCGGCAACCGGCGGGAGGGGCTTCTTGGGCTGGGCCCTCTGCAGGGGCTCTGGGGCAGGGGGCAGCAACTGGAGGCAGGCCCAGGACCCCTCGTGTTGCCAGGGGGGCAGGGGGAGGGACCACTACAGCCTGAGACTGCCCCAGCAACACCTGATGCGGCTGGCCCAGAGGCTACCCAAGCTGCTTGGGCGACCCCTAGGCCAGCTGCCCTTGCCGCTGCAGATGTCACGGAGGTTCCATAAAATCACAGAATCCGGGATCTCTGTGACAGACTCGCAGCCTTACTAATAGCCGCTGATGGACCTTTCCTCCATAAACTTACCTAATTATTTTTTTTAAATCAGTTATAGTTTTGGCCTTCACAACATTCTCTGGCAGTGAGTTCCACAGGTTGACTCTGCGTTGTCTGAAGAAGTTCTTCCTTTTGTTTTAAACATGTCCTGCTCTGTCAGCTCCCTTACTCTTCACATTTTTTATATTATCTTTCCATGAAATATGTAGTATCTTCCTCAATCATCTGTAATGTACAGCTTCCAATCTTTTTGCTAGCTTCATACAGCTGGCCAGTAGTAGTGTTCTTTTATTTTCTGGATGCCTAACATGAGACGTGGGGTCTGATATACACAAGTCAAAGGGAGCTGTCCTTTGAACATATAAAGGGCTATAAAATGCACTCTGAAAAATCAGGACTGAGGTGCCTCAAATTGGACATGCAAAATTAGTGAAGACTTCTGACCTTCATCTCTGCCTTAGTTCCCCATCTGTAAATGGGGATACCACCACCTCCTGACCTCAGGAAAAGTGTTCTGAAGATACATTTGTTAATGTTTGTGAAGCACCCAGATTCTGTCGTGGTAAGCACCATAAGGAAATCCCATTAGTAAATGAATAACTGGTTTCAGAGCAGAGGCCATGCGCTGAACGATGAGGATAAAATAAAATATTGAATTAACCGGTTGTTACGTGAGTACTGTCCTTTCTGTGCACTGAATGGTGCAAGGGTCCTGTGGAAAGAATAGTATGGGATCATGTACGTAAAGATTGTATTATCATCAAGCATACAGACAAGGGGGATTAATTAAGGTTGCCTGTGAAGCCTTACTTCTGGCATTTCCTATCTTTTAATGTTGTGTTTTATGAGTACTATGTATATATTTTAGAAAAAGACCAGTATTAAAGAGTCTGCACTCTAATGTCCTTTAGGCTTGGTCTACACTACCCCCCCTAATTCGAACTAAGGTACGCAACTTCAGCTACGTGAATAACGTAGCTGAAGTTCGAAGTACCTTATTTCGAATTAGTTCAAACTTACCTTGGTCCACACTCGGCAGGCAGGCTCCCCCGTCGACTCCGCGGTACTCCTCTCGGCGAGCTGGAGTACCGCAGTCGACGGCGAGCACTTCCGGGTTCGACTTATCGCGTCCAGACTAGACGCGATAAGTCGAACCCAGAAGTTCGATTTCCAGCCGTCGAACTTGCCGGTAAGTGTAGCCAAGGCCTTAGATATCAAGGACATTTAGGATAGTACAATCTCACAATGTCAGATTTGGTTTATTACAACACTGCAATGTATCAAGATCCATGAATGTGAAACAGCTGGAAAGCTTTTTAGGATTAGCAGTTTGTAAGGCAGTATTCTGATTTAATTTGTTTCAATATAGTAGAGACAATGAAATGCATCCCTAAAGCAAACAATTTAGGAGCTTATATAGTCACATACTTCAATGGAGTGAATGTACCATTCAAGCAGCCGTCATTTAGAGACTGCATAGTATGAAGTGAGGCCAGAATAACTGAATTGTCTTGCATCTTCTAGGGCTGTGTTAAAGAAGAAACCTGAGGGGAGCTTCTATGTTTTTGCAATATGGAGCCCTTCCACTGTAGACAATGGGTTTCAATCTGACCCAGATTAGTAGTGGCCTGAAAGTCACGAGAGTGCAGTTGGCTCTTTGGCCTCTCTGAAATGAACTATTGTTCTTTCCACAGTTCCTATTGGACAGTGTTCACGTCATAAAAAATCATTGAAGTTAGTAGTGACTGGCCTCTTCGTGGCAGTCTCAGCTGGGAGGTCAAAGGTCTCATGGGCCATCGGAATTGAGCTCTCATCTCATCCCCAGAGACTGTTTCTCCTGGTTAGAGCTGAGTAACGTGGACTTGGGGAGTTGGCACTGCTGATGCCCATGCAGTAGTTGTTTTGTGGACAAACATCAGGTTTCTCTCTAGGGCTGGGACTCTTAACACCTTTCATGAGCATACAGTTCACTTTAAAATAATTTAAAAAAATAAATAATGTTAATAGTAATATGTTTGGTCTTCCATTTGTTTCTAGGAGTCCATGGGCAAAAGCTCTGATGGGAAATCGTATGTCATCACTGGGAGTTGGAATCCAAAATCTCCACATTTCCAGATTGTAAATGAAGAAACTCCTAAAGGTACCAACTTTACCAAACTTAACTTTATTATCAGCAGGAATGTGTGACTGACTTCACCGGCGTTGGATTTCTTTTTATTAATTTAAAAGGGCTCTTGCTGAGAGAGAGCAGAGTGGCATCCTTTACTTTTTCTCTTAGTTACATAATGTAGTAAAAATAGTGTTGTGGTCTCTGAATTTGGTTCACATGGGATGTGTAAATCTAGATAGAACAGAAGACTAGTCCATTCCCTAGTATTAGCAAACCGTAAGGGTAATCAAGCATCCTAATAGGGAAAGGAACGGCGGTACAGGATGTGGGAGAGGATGAGGAGGTTTAGTACTTCATTCCAGCTGGTCCCCTTTAACTTCTGCAGACTCTCATTATGAATTGCATCAGATCATTTACTATAGGATTTCCCTTTTGTATGTGCTTAATTCCTACTGTAAATCCAACAAGGGTTGCACAAAGATTATTGGGGGGGAAAACCACTATAAGAAAATTTTACATGTGGCAGAGAAAAATCCACTAAACTGGCAGATTTGTGGGGCTCCACTTCAGTTTTGGGGGATGACTCTCTTGATTCTTAAGCCTGACAATGGAACTTGAAGGATAAAATTTCCAAATATTTTAGGTGATTTTCACAATTATAGTTGTGTGTGCAAATTGGGGAATTGAATGTGAATTGCTTGAAGGTCAGAAATGTTAGTGGTCCTAAAATTGTCTGGCCTAGTCTCTTTCCCATTTTGTGAAGAGTCCTGCTGCTATCGGTGGCTCTACTCTATCAAGGAGAGAATTTCTCACAGCTTGGGGGTCTTGAAAACATGTTTCAGAATCTCTTTAATGTGGTGGGATTTATCCATCATCCAAATGACTCATTTAAAAAAAAAACTGGTGGGACTATACTTGCAAGGCAGAGGTCACCATGCAAATCAAACCCTTGATTAAATATTTGTAATTGTTTTAAGGAATATATTTGCTAGTTTTCAATAGGGATTCAAAAAATCTGACAGAGGATTTTTATCCTCTGTAATATGGGCATCCTCTGCTAAGAGAAGATTCTGATAGGGCATCTTTTCTCTCTAGCAAATAGCTCATCTTATTGTCCTGTGCCAGTCACTGAAACCTTTGCTCTGGTAGCCTCCGACTTGGGGTGTTAGGTTAGCTAAAAGAGACTTTTCTGCAGAATTAGCTCTTACAGTAACATTACTACAAGGTAAACAGATTAGAGAGCATTTCCACTGAGATTTGTCAGCAGGTGATTGTACTATTGATTTGATTTTTTTTCTCTGTAGATAAAGTGCTATTCATGACTACAGCTGTTGATTTGGTGATAACTGAGGTTCAGGAACCTGTCCGATTCCTTCTGGAGACCAAAGTCCGCGTTTGCTCACCTAATGAGAGATTGTTCTGGCCCTTTAGCAAACGTAGCTCCACTGAAAACTTTTTCCTAAAACTAAAACAGGTAACACTGTCTTTTTATCTACAGTTAAATTTGGGGCTTGGCAGGCTTAACTGACCATAACCCCCCTATAATTAAATTCTTTTGAGACTTTAGAGGTAGATTTAGGATGCATTACAGGTTAAATGTAAACATATTGGGGACAAGGATAAACTGTCAGTGCAGTTTAAAGTCCCAGTCCTGAAGCTCTGATACATGTGTTGTCCTACTGAAGCCAGTGGAATGAATCGTGTATAAGGGCTGTAGGATCGGGTTGCAGGTTGTCGTGTGTAATTAACTTCTGTACTTTCAAACCTGGTATTTGGGATGTTACAAAATTTCCTTAATATACAAGTCCTGCTTTTCTTTTACTTAACATGCCATAGTATAAACATAGAAAAGGTAGGTTACTTTTTGCAAAGATAAACAGGATTTAAATGTGCAAGTCCCAGAAAAATTTGACAATTGACCTGGAAAGGCTATTTTTTCTTCAATAATGCTGTTACTGTCTAAGAATTGGAGAAGTGTCACTGCACTGCTCCCTTCCCCCCTGTGTTACATGGTTAGAGCAGAGGTTTCAACAAACCAAATATCCCTGCTTTTCCTGTTGAAAAACGGGACTGGGAAGCAATGTCAAAAAGGCTAACATCTTAGCTTTTTTACACCACCTGCTGGAGAGAAAAGGGTAACGTCTGTCTAAGACATACACTTGAATAATATATGGCAATACCTCACGCCAGAAACTATCAAAGGCTTGAAAATGGATCGTGAAAACCACCTAAGAGTTAGTATGTGGTGGTGGGGGAGCTATTCCCTAACTTGCTTATGAAATGGTCACCCTGAAACCAAACGACTCTTTAGAAGAAATAGAGAGCGTATGAAAACAAACCATCCCGTTGGTGAATTCACATAGTCCAATAGCACTGAGTGGAGCCAAGAATAGTGAGGGAAGGGGCTCGCTGTTCTTATTGTTCATGAATTATATTGAGTCACCTCTTTAAGAGGATCAATTGAAACGAGCAACTTTCTCCCCAGTGTTCTCTTTTGCACTTGTTGGTTTTGGTTTTTTAAAGTAATAGCAGATAGTGGCATGCTTTCTCTGAGGCTTCTTTGCTGCATTTATCTTTTTTATTTAAAGTTAATTCCATGTGTAACCTGTTACGGTCCTGAACAGCTCATTCCAGAAGCACCTGATATGAAGAGATGTTATGGAAACCTTCCTTCAAAATACAGGCTGGAAAAAAAAAACCCCTCCATGTAGGAGATTAGTCTGATCCTCTCCCTATTTGGATTGATCTTTTTGAGGTGGATTGTGGAGATGTTAAACAATTAATGCAGTTAGCTATAAATATTTCACTAATCTTAGAATACAGGCTGCTTTTCTGCCTGGTAATGTAAGGAAGCTTATCTTACTTAGCAAATTTTGTATCTTTTGTCTTACCAAACTCTGCATGCATTGTGACCTTTATCTCACGTAATTCTGCCTTGTTCACAGGCACTGACAGGTTATCCAACTTCCAGTGTTTACTAATGGAGGAGTTAGCACAATTCATAGTTGAAGTGACCGATATAGAGAGTCATGCCTGATAAGCATGGAAGGGAAACTTGTTTCTACAGAGGGGTGATTAGTCTTTAAAAGATACAACTATGTAGAATTAGCTTATCTTAGTTTGCCAATGTTTCTTGTTTCGGAAATGGTGGAAGCAGAGGGATTTTATTTTCCCAGATAACATTCATTGACTTAGTGATCTTTAGTCTGGAAGAATTTCCATTAATTTTAAATACTAAAATGATGAAATTGAGCTTTGGGAATTTTTCTGGAATTCTGTAAAAGTAGCTATTTCTTTGATTTTGACTGGGTGGAAGTAAAGCTTCTTTAATGGTCTTGAATTAAGTTAGAATTTTGTGAAGTGTTTACATAGAAAGTCTTTGCTTTAACTTCCCTGTAACAGGACAGAAGCATTGAAAATTAATAGAGGAAATAAGGCCACACAATGGACCTTGGAATCCATAAAGTTGGCTACCTGTGTTCTCAGCAAGAATACCTGTACATCTTACTTTTGAAGCAGCAAATAGACAATCAGTAGCCATGCTGGGACACTAAACAAAAACAAACAATTTTATCACTAAAAGATTACAGAAAAAAATATCATACACTGCACTATTAGTCTGGTGAGAAGTTAGCTATAGTTCTAGGTTTTTGTCATTCGTAGTATTTTTTCCCTCTTAATGAAAAGGTTGTCACATAGTCAAGAATTCACCAAACTACCTCTCCTAGAACTTCCCCAGAGCAAACATATCATATACTGTTGCAATACATGCTACCTGTGTCTCCAGTCCACTCCTGTGGAAAAAGATGAGCCTGCTTACGAGTCCTGGACCTGAAATGTACTCATTTGTCCCAGGGGGATGGGGGGTACATCTTACTTGCAGGAGCTATACAACTCTGAGTGATGTCTTTTGGATTCTATGCATTCCCATGAAATAGGGGCAGACACCAAACACCACAAGCATTCACAGCCCTGGAAGTTGCATTGGGGCACTGAAAGGACTGTAATAAAAATTTCAGTTCTTCACTTTTTCCTATGTGGATGGTGGTGAAAATAGTTCCTCTTCTCCATCTCCCCTACCCCAAGAAGAGGACGTAGAAAGACCCTCGTGAAGCACATATTCCTCACTCACAAGTATATTTTCTAATCCAGATGAAACAAAAGGACAGGAAGAACAACACAGATACGTTATATGAAGTTGTGTGTCTAGAAAGTGAATCAGAAAGAGAGAGAAGAAAAACTACAGCAAGCCCCTCTATTCGATTGCCGCAGTCTGGGTCCCAGGGCTCAATGATTCCTTCCCCTCCAGAGGATGACGAAGAGGAAGGTAAGAAGTGGGTCCTGTAAAGTTTGTTTTATTTGCATGCTTTGAAGGAAATGGAAGCCAGCTTAGGTAACTAACAAAGCTATTTAGAACAAGTTACCTTTTGAATGGGATGTTGTTTCACACTTTAAAGCTATGAGTGTCTGATAACTAACACTCAAACTGTTCCTGCAGCTGCCACTCCATTTTCCTTGGACACTTCTGTGAACCAACTAAATGCTTTTCCTTGGTTCATTTGAATCTGCATGGAGACGCACTGTGAAGAGTTCGAAACACCGTGAAAAAGTTAAAAACGCTGATAGGCTGCTTAGAAGCATCTGACCTGAAGTAGCACTTGAGATGGAGTTTGTCCCTCCTTGACCAAATGTGAACAGCTGCAGCAGTGAGAAATGGGGAGTTGGCTTTAGTTTGAGATGTCTAAGTGGCATGTTTGCAATGAAAAGTGAACTTAGGCTTCTGTAGTGCATAATGTCACACCAGGAGCTATTTCACTCTTTTGGTGATGCTGTTCATTCTGAGACCTGGTGCGTTTTCAGCCGGTTATGTTGCCATTTCATTTTTTTAATAGACTTTTGAACTGTTTCTGAGTAACTGTTAGAAAAGTAATCAGTATGCTTGAATTGTAGCATCTACCACTTCACATATCTGCTTGTGCTGTTCTAGATTTTTCACATATGAACCAACATAACTGAGGTCCATTCAAAAGGAATGTATTTTTGTATAAATAATTTAATGGGACAACACTGTCAGACCACTGTTATGGTATCAGAGAAATACTGAATGGCAGCAGGTTATCCCGCTCCTGCCTGGAAGGGCTTAAAACAGCCCTGGCAAAGGGCTGCAGCTCTAAAAGCTGGGCTGATTGGGGAAGCAGCCACAGCTGGGCCACACCCCAATCAGGCCACAATTGGCCTGTATAAAAAGGCTGGGAGCCAGAGGCCAAACAGTCTCTCTCTGCACTCAGAGAGAGAGAGAGAAGGGCCTGGCTGCAGGGAGCTTAACAGGGTACCTGAATGGAGCAGGGCTGGGGAAAGGCTGGGGAGCTCCAGCCTGGAAAGCCCCTGGCTGCAGCCTAGTAGAAGGCCACGGAGGTGCTGGGGGTTGCAGAGGGCAGCCCAAGGATAGGCCAAGGCAGCAGGTCCAAACCCAACCTTGTCTGTGATGAGTGGCCTATACTGCAATCTGCCCCAGGGAGCGGGGGCTAGTTGGTGACTGGCAGTGGCCTTATTCCGAGGCGAGGTAGGGATAGTAGGTGGGGCTTCTCCGGGGAGGGGAGACCCTAATACTGAGGGGTGAACTGCCAAGGGGCAGCACCCCAGATAAAGGGGCACCGGGGTCCGGGAGGGACACGGGGGCCAGAGGACAGCCGGATCACTGGCCTGCAGGGGGCGCTCCAGGACGCTGGAACAAGCTAATTCCCAGAGACGACCAGCAGGAGGTGCCGCAGGGCTGAGTCCGCCCCTCTACACAAGGGTTGCTTCTTGGGGTTGTGCTTAGCTACTCTTTCATTTTAGCGATGGAATGTGCAGCATTCTAAAAGCTACATAATTCAAGCTTAAGGAGCTGTCAAAAAAGTAATAGCATTCAAAGGAAAAGTGCAAAGCAGTTCAGGTTGTAATGAATGCAATGACATTATAATGGCCTCTCATTATATTTCATAAAGGAAACAAGATCCCTTAATCTTTCATTTGAAAGATCAAGAGTTGAGGATGTTACATTATCTAGCACTGGCAGTATTTCAGTTGTTTGTCAGGTACTTGCTGCTTTAAAACGCTTTAGCAGTGCTAGACGTGCAGCATTTCACTGATAGCAATACCATAAATTAATTTCAAGATAACATCTGAAATATGATTGCATTGGTAGCAATTAGGTTAATGCCTACTTTGCATTCTGACTTGTTCTGGGCTGAATTGTGAGATGCCTGGTAATGATTATATAAGGATTGAGTCTACAAATGCTGTATTCCTCCTTGTTAAAATTTGCACAGATACACCAAGAATTGATTCACGTTGTAGAGAGCTGAATGCTAATCTCCTGGTAGGATAGTTCCCCCTGTTCTTACATTTTCTCCTCTCTTCTCATTCATTATAGATAATGACGAGCCTCTCTTGAGTGGTTCTGGAGATGTTTCCAAAGAGTGTGCTGAAAAAATTCTTGAAACATGGGGAGATCTTCTGTCCAAATGGTAAGAAGCAAGAATATGCATTCTGAAAATGGTACTTCTGAGTCTTCTCAGACATGATAGGTTGCCAGCTAAGTGTGTTGTTTCTTCGCAGAGTGGCCATTGTTTCTGGAAATTAGTTGAGAAAAGATTAGGGTGGATTAAATCCTCTGTTACTGAGAATGCCTCTTATTTTCTTATCTCATAGCTCATAGACTTTAAGGTCAGAAGGGACCATTATGATCATCTAGTCTGACCTCCTACATAACACAGGCCACAGAATCTCTCTCACCCACCCACTCCTGTAACAAACCCCCTAACCTGTGCCTGAGTTATTGAAGTCCTCAAATCATGGTTTAGAGATCTCAAGGTGCAGAGAATCCTCCAGCAAGTGACCCGTGCCCCACGCTGCAGAGGAAGGCGAAAAACCTCCAGGGCCTCTGCCAATCTGCCCTGGAGGAAAATTCCTTCCCAACCCCAGATATGGCGATCAGTTAAACCCTGAGCATGTGGGCAAGACTCACCAGCCAGCACCCAGGAAAGAATTCTCTGTAGTAACTCAGATCCCACCCCATCTAACATCCCATCACAGGCCATTGGGCATATTTACCTGCTAATAATCAAAGATCAATTAATTGCCAAAATTAGGCCATCTCATCATACCATCCCCTCCATAAACTTATCAAGCTTAGTCTTGAAGCCAGATATGTCTTTTGCCCCCACTGCTCCCCTTGGAAGGCTGTTCCAGAACTTCACTCCTCTAATGGTTAGAAACCTTCGTTGAGTCTGATTTCAGGTTTTGTCTGATATCTTTTGTACTTCTTCTTTTTTGTATGTCTGAGTGTTCTTTAAAATCATTCAGGGAACATGTTAGTTTCTTGGGGTTACTGCAGCTGCAGGTGATCTGGAAAGCCTGGTATTACTTTGCTCTACATTTGCTAATAAAAAAAATCTAACTATCAAAAAAAGAAGAAAGCTGCAGCTTTTCCCTCACTTTGGCTCCCCAGAGATCATTTCCTGGGTAGGTTCCCTCATTCCAGCTCCAAGGTCGATCAGAGCTGAGCCACTTACACCCTCTGAGTATCCTTAGCCTTCGACTCTTAAGAATGCAGTAGGATCTACCTTGGATTATGAGGATGTGTCCGCCTCATTAAAGGAAGATAGGCTCTGGGCCCATCAGGGGAGTGTATGAATCATGCTTTTCTAGGAAGTGCTGATTTATCTAGCACAGAATTTCTAAATAGTAGAGATTCTGATGCAACCCATACCCTCCCTTCCTGGGCGAACAACTAGCCAGTTTTGCATACTAAGATGAGCCTCCCTCAAAGAGGTTGGTACTGGGATCTTTGCAAAACTCTGTCAACATTGCACAAAGAGATCACACAAACACAATACCAGATGGAGCATTTCAAACTTGCCCTTGGTCTCCATCTAGCATTGGTTCTCTGCCTGTGCTTCATAACACCATTGAAAAGCAGAGCAAGAAACATCCAGAAAGCTGAGGGAAAATGAAATACTACATCCCCAAGAAGGAGAAAAGCAAAGCTACAGTACAGTAGAGATCAGATTAAAGCCACATTTAAGTGGTAGGAAATTTACTAATATAATGAATTTTAGCAAATATTTTCTTGATATGAAGCTAATCATAGCCTAGTAAGGGGAGTGGTTCTCTATTGATCTTGAATACCATTGTTTCAAATTCGATAGGGTTTTTACTTCCAGTTTTTTAATACAAATACATTATGGTAATTTGATAGGAGTGCTGGACATATGAAATTGTCACTTTAATATAACAAAAGAGTGGAAAGACTGCAACAAAATGATGTCCTCTCTTCCCCCACCCCCTTACAAGCAGCTTGATCAGATGAGCTCTACAAATCCTCTCTCAGCAAGAATGTTTCTCATATACTTCAGTTCTGTAACTCTTCCAAGGCTGAAAGGTAATTAAGCCACCTGACACTCGCACTGAAAATGTTTTGACAGCTCTAAGGATGTGGAGTGCTTCTGTGCTAATGCTGGCAATAACAACTTTAGTGTGGTGGTAAAGTTTCCCTCTTAACTTAAAAAAATATTGCAGGTAATGATCCTTGAGCTTTTAGCGTAATAGAGAATTGAAAATCCTAAAAAGGAGAGTTCAGGTGCTTAGATGCCATGGTTTTCTGATCTCATATTCAGATTTTTTTTTATAGCAATGAGCGATTTGTTGGTATTCTTTTAACTTTTTTTTACCATGTCTGGTTTGCATTTTATTACAAATGAGTCACATGCTCTTCCCACTTGAAAATCCAGTAGTTGGGAATATCTGGTAGCCTGTTACCCATGAAGTACACAGGTTATATTGTGTGACACTGTTTTATTAAACCTACTATATATACTAATTCTGGTCATAAATTAAGGCAAGGCAGTTCAGAGTCTCTTCAGAGGGTTTGTATTTGTTGTAGATGTTCTAACTTCCAAGCTTGGTCCTGAGAACAGATTTTCTTTCCCTTATAAATAATTGATTAGTGCTCCCTGTTATCAAGCTCTGTTGTATTTCTGGTGTAATGGGGGAAATCCTGGTATTTAAAAAGCTTTCTAGCAAGATGATAAATTCAGGAGAACTGAATTTATGTAGAGGGTGAAAGAGCAGATTATAGTACCAGGGTCCTGTGGAATAATTGCTGTTTTAAATGTCTGACACACTAACTTTTGCGGCCCCAGATGATTGTAATGGAATCATCCTGCTGTAGATTGGAGAAGAGCAGGAAAGGAAGCCTGTGTGTCTGTGTGTGTCTGTGTGTGTCTGTGTGTGTGTGTGTGTGTCTGTGTGTCTGTGTGTGTATATATATAATATATCTCATTCTAGACTGCTGGTATAGGTTTTCTGAGCAATAATCCCCACATTTAATAATTCTACCTCTTGACAAATAACCACAGCGTCAAACTATCCATGCATATTAAAATTCATTTTTATTACATATAAAATTATATACAGTATATAATATATATAATAAAACAAAATAATAAAAATGAATTTTAATATGCATGGATAGTTTGACGCTGTGGTTATTTGTCAAGAGGTAGAATTATTAAATGTGGGCTTATTACTCAGAAAAACTGTACCAGCATCTAGAGCAGTTTAGAATCTGTGGAAATTCAACGTAAACTAGCTACACAAGGCAAGTAGTGATAACACTGGAAATTATTCGAACACATGCTTATAGTTGGAATTGCACTTTAGATTCTTGAAAACTGGTGTGTGGCCATTCTAGTCCTAAAAGGCCAGCTGATTACTGTAAAAAGCCTAGAGAGCAATATGGATTTCTACCATAAGCTCCTCCCCCCCCCCCCCCCATGTCCAAGTCTGCCATGTTGGCACAGTTTGAGATAACATAGGTCTATAAATCTTTTAATTTTATAACTCTGAGTGAAGGTTTAGATCATACAAAATGTGGTGTATTTCTGTACTTGTGTTTAAATCTTTTCTGCTTTGGTATATTGTGGTGTTGAGTCTTACAGCAGGTCCAGGACATGTTTGTCTTCAAACTAGATTTAATAGGGTTTATGGAAGTGGATTAGAAATGTGTCCCATTAATTTTGTTTCTTTCATGGCTCCTGAATGTTCCCATACTGTCATTATATTACAGCCTCCTATGGACTAGAAAGATACTCCAGCAACACACAGACTGTCTTGAAGTTTTCTCCATTGTGTCTCACATTCCACATTGCATTTTGGTTGTTACACATGTGTTTTCATACGTTTGTACTTGGGCCACAGTGATGGAGCATAACTTCCCTCTTGCCCTCCCTTCACCCAGGCATCTCAATTTGAGTGTGAGGCCAAAGCCTTTGTCAGCGTTGGTGAGAAGTGGTGTTCCCGAGGCACTGAGAGGAGAGGTGTGGCAGCTGCTAGCAGGATGTCATAACAATGACCACCTCGTGGAAAAGTACCGAATTCTCATCACAAAAGTAAAGTGATGCATTTTATTTTTTTAATGTCTTATTGGTAGAAAGGTGGATAGTTACAAGAATCCTGTATTGCTTAAAGGTTATTGGGTATAACTGAATATGGAAGCCGAAAAAGTCAATATAATGGAAGAAAAACATAACAAAAAACCCTAGCATCTGGAGTATTTATTGTGGAGTTACCTCCACATAGAGCATATTTCCCTTTAATATTTCCACTAATAATTTATAAAACTGTGACCTATTTTGGTTTGCCTCTTAGGAATATTCAGCTATTTGCTTTTTATGTCATTGTTAGAGATTTAGTTGGTTAAATTCTTTGGCTTGCTCAGATTTCCTATTGGAAAGGTAACGTCTGTTATATTGCCCCTAAAATCTGTTTGCAGCTAAAATGAGAATCCAGACCTAAATGTTGAAATTTAACTTGTTTCTTAGTAGCATAACCAAGTCAATGTGTTCTGTTAATGTTTGTTTGTTAGTTAAAGGGCATATTTGGGGTTTTTTGGTCCAGCTGTTTAATTCTGCAGATCTTGGTTCTTAAGCACAACAGTAGTGTATGGAAGTTTCTGACATCAATGTTGACAACAATAATAAAGAAAAAGAAGAGACATTATATGCTCAAACATCATGCAACCGTGCTTCTCAAAATTCAAAATATAACAGTTGTTCAAGAAATAAGAATGAAATATCTTTTCTCCACAATCAGTATTCTGCGTTTGGATATGTTCGTTCTATGCACAAGCAATACTATTTTACTGTGTTCATCAAATGATAACGTACTTAAGGACTGAGTAAGAAATGACTGATGGTGAGAGTTCACTACAAAAGTCCTCTCAGTGTAAATTCATTGTCCAAAAGATAATTAGCAAAATGAGTCTGTCAGTCTTTGGATATCCATGATCTGATTACACATAACCTGACTCTGATTTGCCAGGAATAATTACAAACATTATTCTGAAGGGAGAAGGGCATCTGAAATAAGACCCAGTGGGAAATAAAGCTTTGATTTATGTTGCATAATCACACAAGTTAAGAAGAAGGTAGTATTATCTGTCAAGCAAAATCTCCTGGGTGTTTCTGTTGTATTGTTTCAACTGCTAGGTGAGGAGCTGACCATGTCACTTGTGTCCCCATTCCAATATTTGGGTACTGGAATGAAGGAATGACCTGTGTGTAGTACTTCCTGGCTCTTTGAGCTGTGGTCCAAGTGTAGTATAGTGCGTGACACACACACTCCTCCTGTCTGTGAGTGAGTAAATGCACTAGGGTGTTTCATTTTCCTTCTTAAAACTGTGAAATCCTTCCACTCTTTGGCCTCTTGGCAGAAGCAGAGGAAATAACCTGGCTGTGATGCATTGAACGTTTCCCTGGAGTCACAGGCAGAGAGAGTTGGCTGATTCAGCATTGTGATATAGGGACTGGCCACTCAGAAAATACTACAAAATTAACCTCTTGAAGAAAATTAGCATTGAATGAGCCTCTTTGGCATATGATCTCATCGAGTAATTGGCTTAGGCAAACGAAAGTGAAGTCTACTTTTTAATGTCAATGCCATATTTGAGAATTGTTGTGGTGACCAAAAGTCAATTAAATGAAAATGGGACAGGAGTGTTTTTATAGTATTAGTAGAAAAAGGGTGATGGTCTGGAGGGAAAAAATATCTATTCAACTTTTATACTGAATTTTCTATAGTCTGCCTAAAGTGAGGAATGGTGGAAGACCTAGAAAAAGGTCCAGAGATGAGATTAATTCCTTTAGAAGGAGGAGATGAGAGAAAAGATGTTAGCAGGGGCAGAATTGTGTGCGGCTTTAAAGAAGGACGAGGACTTTGAAGTGGAAGGGAAGAGGATTAAAAGAGGGAAGTGACCTGGTCAGTGAAGGAGAGAAGTATGGGTTTTATTTGTGTTTATGTGGTTTTGGGTAGAAATTTGGATGGATTTAAAGGGAGTGAGCTGAGGAGCAAAGGACACTTATTGCAGAGAGGGTTGTGACCTACACTCCTGCAGTGAGCCTGGGATCCTGCGGGTCCTACAGGACCCTCTGCCATAATAGTGGGTAAAATTTATTTTGTTGCAGGGGCAGGATTGGGTGGGCAAACCCCCCAAAACCCAGACTGCGGTAATTTGTGGGAAAACACTACATTTAAGTAGGATTTGTTGTCTTTTAGTGGTAAAAATTGTCTGAATTCCGTTATGTATCCGACTGGGTGGGTTTTTTAAGTTGCATGGGGGAGTCTTGCAGGATCTAAGGTTTTTGTGGGTGGGAGTGGGATAAAAATGCAAGAAACAATGCTTTGTTTTTGTGGGAATGGGAGTGGGTGGGTTTTGCAGGATGGGAGCAGGGGTTCTGCTGTGACCTTCCTTTCAGATAGCCAAAGCTGGCAGAATCTCTTAAGCATCTCTAACCAGGTTTGTTGGCCCCTTCTTGTAGAGTGCAGACACAGCATTGTTGTTCTTCTGTGGTTGGGGAGGGCTGCTCTGAAGGGTGATTCCGTGGACACTTGTAGTAACTTGCTTAATCTTTCAGGCACAGTCCACCCTACAGGGAGCTCAGCTGGCTGCTGGCATATAATCATCAGACTTGTTTTGCAAAAGGAAACAATGATAACAGGTTGAAGAAGTGTCTCAGGTTTACATGCAGTTTGCTCTAATCAGCAGGCTTCTTATTTGAGAACTTCATCACTTTAAGGCAGCAAGTTCACCACTTTGGCCTTTGCAGCAGTTACCAATATCTTTGAAAATGGTGCAGTGTTGCTGCTCAAATCAACTTATAGTACTGATGTACCTGTCAAATGTTTGGCAATAGTGCTTCCTGGCAGAGCAGTATAGAAAACCAAGTGCTGTGCTGGCTGGCATCAAGCCCTGCCTTCTCTGTAAAGGAACATGTGACACTTCAGATAACTTCATCTCATGTGGTGGATGTGCATCTGCAGAAGTGTCAGTTCTGCTTAGTGTGAGCAAAAAATGATAAACAGAGAGGATGTGCTAGCGACTGGTGTTCAGCCTTCTACCAAAAATTATTTAAGACCAAAAATGCTTAAGACTTAAATGCTTTCCTCGTGATCAAGAATAGTGCAGCCTTTCAGGTGTGCTCCTCTCTGCCAGAGAGCTGTGAGCAATGAACTATCATTTCTAGTCGCTGCATCAGATTGCATTGGACACTGTAGTCTTTTGGCCTTGTCTTTTGCTTCAGGGCAGTGAAAAAAGGTAGGTTTCTCACTGAGATTTCAATCAATTGCTTTGGTTAAGTGACTAGATCAACTTCTTTCATGCTGACACTTTTAAAAAATAACATTTGGAGAGTGTTCAGTGCAGCACATACAAATAGCAGCTGGCACTTCTGCTTCTCCTTCCACATGAGTAATTGCTCCACTGACCCAGCAAGATATCTGCAATTCCATCATATGCTTGCTAACTGGAAGGGCATGAGGGAGTAGATTTATAATAGAGGTGGATTGTGTTTTGGTCTCAGTGTTTGGTTTTCATTATTCCTGATTAACTCTGACAATTATATATGGAGTTCTAACATGAGCTGTTTTAACTGTTCTGAAGAGAACCGGTCAGTTGTCTTAGCCAGAATACTGTAGTGTGACAGAAGGAATTCAGATCTCCACAAACTTAGTTGAGCTCCACCTCCCTAGTGCTCACCAGACTGCTATGATCCCATGTGTGTTAAGCCTCCAGAGGCTGAAAAGAGACCAGACACTGCCCCAAACTGGGGGTGCCGAGGCACATTGTTAGGGTGCAGATCCTCTGTCTAACATCCCATCTGGAGAGCGTAGATCTCACAGTCCAACTGCCCAGATCCTGGGATGAGTGGCGGGTCCCTCCCCTGTTACTTAAACATATCCTCTCTCACAACTCTAGCTGTCCGGGTCTTCCTCAGCTTTACTCTTCAAGGCAACGTGATAGGCCTAACACTTAACAGTCTCACTTTGCACAGGATTCTAAAACACCAACTGCTCTTTACTTAATAACATGAGAGAATGCAGATAATTTAGAAAATAAGAAACATTTTGGATGCAGTGCCCGTCCCTCTCTCACTCACTCTTCCCTGGAATCCCTGGGGGCCCCCTCTGTGTTCAGGTACGCAGGGTTCCCTTAGCCTCTTCAGACTCCTGTATCAGCTCCCCTGTGCTTGACCTGGTGAAAAAGGCCAAAGACCCCAAATAGGTCAACTCTTCAGGTGACTTCAGGATCTGCCCCCTCACAGACCTCTACCAGGTTCTATTACTTCTCCCCTGACAAACCAGTTCTTCTGGATGGGAGCTAGCCTATTGCCTAGAATTTCTGTGTTTTAATAGATGATCATCCCGATATAATAACTTTCTATTATCAGCCCTGCATCTTACCCTTTGGAATTTCAGTCCAACTTGGAGGTGAAGAGGACAACTGTGCAGCCCTGTGCCTTCTCTTTCAGCTTGGTAAAGATACATAGAGCGAGTTCATAATCTCACAGAGAATTCATAAATCGCACAGCTAGATTTCCCCATGTAGTCATACTTCCCAGTACAGAAGTGTCTGCTAATCATCTGGGAGGCCTGGCACTCTGACTCCCATGGTTTTAGCTTCCTGATAACGCTGTGCCATGTTTTACAAGCCATTCCTAGAAGTACTGCTTTTGCAAAACTATTGCTAGGAGTGCTGTTAATGGAAATGCCAAATCAGCGGCACTGCAGTTTTCTGAAGGTGGTGTATCCAGGAGTGAGTAATCTCGTTATAGCAGAACTGCAAAAGGAGTTAATGCAATCCCCCAGCTCTCCAGTGCAAAGCTGGTAATGCGATAGGCCTGTTTAAGTATTCATAGTAAGGCTCTGCCCCCTCTTCTGTCTTGATGTTGACCTCTTTGTTTCAGTAGCAGCATTTGATTTCCGTCAGTCTTTTCGTGACCCCAGATGGCAGCGAGGCCCTGCGTTAATACAGATCTGTGTTGACAGCTGCATTGGAAGTCTCTGGCCTCTTTCAGTGGATTTTTTCTTGTGAGCAGAGTTGTGGACATGGGCT